TGATAGCTTGCGGGTGGCATGTTTGAGCAGTGCTGGGGCCCCGGGTTCAATTCCCAAGCCGCTGTCTGCGTGGGGTTTATAGCTCGCCCTGTGTTTGTGGAAAATCAGCTTTGTTGCAAATGTGTGTATGTCTGCCCTGTGATGGAGTGCCATCACATCCAGGGTGTATTCTGCCTCGTGCCCGTTGTTTTTTGGATAGGCTCTGGCTTCTCTGTGACCCTGAATTGGAAAAGAGTTGTTAGAAAATGGCTGGATGGATGGGTAATTGCTTGCGTTTATGTACCGCATTACGTATAAGAAGACATCCACACCACCCACCCCTGGAGCACAGCGCCAGCCTGGGTGATGCAACGCAGTTATTCTTCTCCAGCAATTCTACTGCACAGCAGCGAAATGACAAATTTAGCAGTGAACTACAGCGGAACTTCAGTAATTCCCCAGATGTACAACACTAGGGTTGAATTTAGCTGGCAACACTGGAATAAACACCCTTTCTCTTTACAATTCTGTAACCCCTCTTTCTGTTGCATGTCATTCACGTAAAAGAGGGCAATAGTTAGATGACAAAATTAGGATTAATGGGCAGCCATGCAAATGGTATAATTAGTTGTTTTTAGGATGGAGAGATTGAGTCTCCTTCTTCTGTTGCAAAGTGTGCTCTGTAGCACATACTTCTCACACTGACCCCTGAGGGTCAGGGCAGGGTCATCTTAGGGTAAATACAGACTAATTGGTTAGATGGACCTGACTGATTTATAAAACCTGTCCCTCTTCATTAAAGAGAGAACTATGTGAACACTCACCTTCAGAGTCTTTAGACGAGTCCTTCTGAAAGGCTGGTGCATTGCAATTAGAGCTGCTACATTATTAACTTCATTCCCATTTTTTTGAAGGCTGTTTGCTTGTTCAATATTGAAATCTTTGCTGAATTGTAGGATGATTGCATAAAATCATAGAAGACTCAAATGCATTACACCGATTTGCTGACGTATCCAACACAGCTTTGTAGAACTTGGTTTTTACTGGAGACATTTTAGTTGAGTCCCATGCTTTAGAGTGGAACAGCACCTGGAATTCAAACCTCTAACCTGCTCATTATGAGCAGAAATCCTAACCGTTGCTCCACACTATTGCCTAGTCACTGGAATAACTTTTACTCTACTTCTCAGGTCTGCTGTGCAGTGATGCAACACCGATAAAGGCTGACATTTTAAAAACATTCACTAGGTCATGTCATCTGTGCTGAAGACACTGTATAGATATACTGTATACTGTATCTTGTTTTAATTGTGCATACTGCCTATTTTTCAAAGAACACCCTAGTGATAGTGAATTCTGAATTACCTTAAGGTTCTCTCAGGTTCTCCCTTTTGAACAAAGAATCACAAGAGAACACACAGACTCCTGAAATAAGTTCAAGACCTCAAATGACAGAAACCAGCCTATAATATGTCTGGTGCTTGCCAGCTCCACAGCTCAGTAGTCCTTTGCTTTTTACTGGTTTCAATCCCAAACATTTGTGCTGTTAAAATGAGTAAGGACCAATGCTGGATTGAATTACCTTGACTAATCACTGGATTAATCTAAAACTAAAACTGTAGCATAGATTTAGGGCAGATCGACCCCCCTCCCCACAAAAACATCTGCTATTAGAGCTTTCTGTTCTTGGAACCCACAGTAGTAATAATGCCTTCTGCGTCTTCTGTCATTTTCGTGCTGAAGATCGCTTCAGTGTTAGATAAAAGTGAGTTTGGCGTCAATGGAAAATTTTGGCTTTGAAACATCCTCGGAGCCCATTCACAGCGAAGTAATTAAAAAGTGCTTTATTTAAATAGCAGAGTGCTGACCTGCTGTGAAAACTGCTATGTGCCTGACGCAACTGGGCGCTGCTGTTGCTGCATTTATGTAGGACACCCCGGGACGGCACGTTTACCAGGACAGCGCCTACGTGCGCTTCGCTCCTGGGAGCCCAGCTCTGTCCCGCTGCGAGTGACCGCTGCGTGATTAATGGCCGCCTGCTGACCCTCCTTCAGGCTCACTGTAACCTAAGCATGGTGCCCTTATGCAGCCACTTAGAATGGCTGCCGGAGTCCACCCAGATCCCATCAAACTGGCCGAAAAGCCAGAAGGGATGCGCGTATCCCACCCGCAGATTGCTTCACGCGTGTTAAGTTTATCGTTAAATATTTCGCGTGTCCTACCACACTCTTCCTTCTACACCTACAAACGCACACATATTTTACCGTGTTCGGTGTGGTAGGTTAGCCAAAAAGTGAAACATTTCACAGGCATCTGTGAAGAAATCACCCAGGCAGGTTCCCTGGCGGGTTGACTTCACATCTGAATGGAAGCAGTAGAAATAAATGAAGTCTTAAATACGTCCCACTGGGCTTGTCTGTGATTCCCAAACGGGGATTCCGACTGGCAGTATTTCTTGATACTTTTGCACGTCGATATTGTAATCTAATGGTATTAGGTTGTTAATTCCGCAAACAACCACCTAATAAAAGGGATATTAACTAGAACCCTTTACAGCGTTTTTGGCATCTGCAAATCTCGGCTATTTAACAGGAAAAGGAAAAGGACGGAAAAGGACAATTAGAGGTTTATGTTGAAACTTTTTTTTCCCTCACAAACATTGATAAGATCGTATTATATTTTTGTAAAGGGTAATAGTTAATGAAAAGTCTACATTGCATCTCTAGATGAGATTGACTAATCGGTCATAACTAGCGTTAGGAATTTTGCGAGGAACTAAGATCCGCCTCTCGATTCAAACGTTTATTCTCTTAACACGGATCTGAGTCGTGGGTGATTTATTTTAAATTAAGCTGAGCACATACCGCTATCAAGAGGCAGGGAAAAAGCCCACTGATTTGAATGACAGCATAGGAACAGAAAGGGAAAATGTGGATTTCTGATAGTGACCTCGACCATCAAAGAATGCAACAGCAGGAAACTGATTAAATTGGCATCTAGGTATTAAAGACGTTATTTAAATTTTGCTATTTTAAAAGTGGCAGAGAGGCATTTGGGTTTCAGTTGGTACAGCCGGATAGCGCCGTCCTATAGCTAAAACTTTTACTTTTTAACCAGTCTGTTCTCATAGTTTACACTTCTGTAAATTCTTAAAATGTGTTTTCTGCTCCGTGCTTGCTGGTTAGTGGACTTGTCTCTGAGCTGTTGGCGCAAGTCGAGACTTGTTGCCCTGGAGTCGTTTGCATTGTCGTTTTCCATGTTCAACGGGGAATGGCCAGAACAGTACAGAACCGAGAACATGTCACTTTATTTGCTAAATCGAGATAAACGTTTGGATTTTGGGCATGGTGTTGCGCGGAGTGTTATTTTTAAAAATGGTCTATGAAGAAAACAAAAAAAAAGAATGGTTTAGCCAGTCTACCTGTTGTTTTGGTATCAATCCTGTTTTTTTTTTCTTTTGGTATGCGATTTTATCGTTTTACGCAAAAAGTATAATACAATATCTAACATACCAGTTAGAGCTGTATACGGTACACCTGAAGAAGGCTTCACAGCCGAAACGTTGTGTTTTCTCTCTTCTCTTTTCGGCATAGAATAAACCCATTACTTGTTCCTTTGCAGACTATGCATGCTGACGCAGCTCCCCACCAGAGCTGTATACTTTTAAATATCTTAAATAACAGATGCTATAGATGGTTATATAATAAAATAGATGACAAAGTGAAGTAGTGATGTATGTAAAAGTGAATACTGTGCTTCTGGTATTTTGTCAGCTCTAGTGTAAAAGTAGTTCTCCTGCTCGGGTATTTCGTCTTGTGCTGGTGCTGTGAAGCACAGGCGGGGACTTTCTGCCTGGTTACGTCAGAAGTGATGCAATAACCTGCACTCTATGACGTGCCTTGGCGCTCGCTTCAGCTGTTGTGTTCTGCGCTTGTGAGCCCAGAGAAGCAGAGGCAATGCAATACGGTCTGACGGTAGATTTTCACTTAATTCCAAAGGACGTCTCGACCGATTCCGATGAAGGTAAAACTATTTACATATGCAGTTTTTTCCACGTTTTGTCATGTTTTTGCGATTTTGTTCAATAAGATTTCTTCTAATGAGGTTGGTTTCGCCTTTGTCCGTATTACCGCAGCTTGTCTTTTCGCTTTTTTGCGGGTGTTTAAAAGTGCAGGTTAGCTCCAGTGTGTTTCACATTTTCGTACGTTCTGCCATCGAAACAAATTTAGTGCTTTTCGGGCAGTTGTGCTATTAAAATTGTCATTGTCAAAATATTTCGTTGTCGTTATCGATGTATCTGCGTTATCTGCTCTGTGGGTCTTTATTAACTTTCTGCAGAGTTCAGAACTTCATATTTTCTGTCAGGTGGGCCAGTTATCTGGTCCATAGTCGAGACAATTTTCGCGGTCAAACATATCGCTATTTGCGTGTAATGGAGGGCACAAGTTTGATATATGCAAGTTAGATGGTGGGGTGAAGCCGTCTCAAATACCCTCTCGGGGCAAGATTGTATTTCCTGGCTTTCCAAGGTCTCTTGGATATGGCATTTGATATGGCAGTCAGATCATAGGTTCTTGCTTAAGGGAAATACTTTGAGCAGTTTAATCTGGTAAGAAATACGTTTTTTGAAATATCAATAAGCATGTAGATTCGGCGTTCGGTTTTATGTTTTTTTTTTTTTGACTGATGTAATACAAATGATTCCTTTCTCATCCACTGCTCTCTCCACCCCAAACCCACACCCACCTTTATAGATCAGAATAACATTTGCAAAAATTCTGCTCCGTGGTAACAGTCTGTTATATCTTAACATAATTCTGATGCTGCTTTATGAGGAAACCGGCTGTTTTGATAGGCATATGTAAAACATTTTACCATTTCAAGTGGTAATTACAATAAACAAACAGCATAGGTATCAAGAAAACTTTTTCCTGTGTATTTGGAAACAAATTGACCTCGAAGTTGAATGTAGTTATTCAGATTATGGTTCAGGATGTGAAAGTCTTTTTTTTAATGTTTTCCATGAATATTTGCTTTTGATCCTCAAAGTAAATTGTGTGTGCAAAATTGAAAACAGTTGGTTCTCTTTATAGAAAGGGCTTTGTGAGTATGGGACAACCTACTTGGGCGTGTTGTTGAAGACAATTTCGATTTCTTTCAAGAAACAGTTGGGCGTGATGAGTTGGAAGTCAGAGGTGCCGAATTTGTAAACATACTGAGGTTCTTATGCGTTTGTAAGGAATTTGACTGCAAAACTGACGAGGTTAGTATGACTGTCCACTGAAAGCTCTGGGGTGACTTGGAGGACTTTATCATCTTTATCTTTAAGGTATAAGACAAGGTTCAGAAGGGATTCATGGACAAAGTAGCCAAGTCCAAAGACACTCCCCCCATGCTTAAAACGAACTTTCTGTGGGGGCTGCATTTTTAACAGGAGGCTGTTGGAGTTGCTCAGGGGTTCCTAGGGTGTTGTGTGTCCTCAGCTGGAGAATAATGGAACACCCACTGTCAGGAAGAGCTGCTTTTCTTCGGGAAAGTGCTGAAATTTTCATCTCAGCAGGGTTACTGAGGGAGTGCTGTGTTTTACCTGATTTACAGCACTCCTCTGGTGTCGGTTTACAATTGCAGAATACAGACGGTTTTTTTTTTCCCCTTTTTTTCCTTGATGCCCTTCTTGCCTGCTGGCGCAATCCCAACTCAGTCCTGTTTGCAGGGCTGTCAGAGCTGACTTGCTGTGATCCGGGTGGTGATTTTTATTACAAGGGCTGGAGGGACTCAGGAGCCGAATGCCCCGTCTTTAAAGGCAGCTGTTTGTGTCCTAGAGCTTTACTTAATCCAATTGGAAATGTGACGGTGTGTTCTGATTAGGTACTGACCATTGGTAGGTCAGCCAAAGTTTACATGTCTTCTGTTTTGGAAACTTGGACATTTTTGTTTTCAAAAGGAGTTGAAGCACTTGAAAATCTGGTGTCCTGGAGAAAAAACAGGACTAGGTGATCTTAGAGTTTTACCTTTTTGTAAGATTTTTTTTAGAAGTTTATTTCCTGTAAATGTGTACTCTATAGAGAATGATGATGATAACATTTAAAAACTAAAATTATACATAAAGCACTTGCTCAACAATAAAGAAAATGACTCTATGAACATAATGATTTGGCACTAGTTGTCCTATGAAATGCTCTAGGATGTTTTGAACTTCTTAAACGTCTTCTTAAATGAGGAATGTTTTTTTTTTCTTCCATGAAACATTTTGTGTACTTTGTCAATCTCAGAGGGATTAAATACCATCCCGCAAGATCAGCTGAGATCGAAGTGAAGTTATGTATTGCATGAGATATGGATTTGAAGGCAATCTGTGTTTCCTGTTGGCAATGGAAAATGTACGCACTTTGTTTTTAGATACTTACCAACTGTATACAGTTTACAGACTGATTTACTACTGATATCCTTGAGGTTTTGCTCTGTCATGCTGTGTTAAATTTGTTCAATTTTAAATAGTGTGTGAAGGCTCAGTTCAAATAAAGTGCTGATAGATCCTGTCAGAGTATGCTACTAATTTCAGTGTGCAGTTTTCTTTTTGCCTGGTGTAACTAAGGGTTCATAGGTAATCCTATTGAGTTGTCTGTTTTAAAGTTCATCTCCGTGAAGGGCTCCTTACAGGGCATGTGGCAGTGCACTACAATCATACAGTCTTAATGAAGTGTGGGATAGTTTCAGGTAAAGAGTTCCTTTCCTGTAGTAACAGCAGTTTGTAAACTGGGGCCATGTATGCGGGGTTCATCTGTGAAACTGCTCATCTGTACGAGTTCCTTCAAACTTAAGAAGAGCAGGTTTTTACTATCATTTAAGTTAGGGGCTGCATCAGTGTGCTTTGGCTGCAAAGGAGCAAGTAAAGTCTAATTCCACATTGAAGGAGAGAAGGAAAGATACACAGTGTTTCAGTTGTTCGGCCATCTTCAGGTGTGAGGGACTGAGGGGGAGGGTAGCAGGGACACAAAGAATACGACTAGTGAGAGGAGAGTGCCCAAACAAAGGGAGATCACAGGGTGAGGTGTGAAAATCTGAAACCTGTAGATTAATGAAGGGAGGTGGTCCTAAAAAGACGTTAGATCACAGATCTGTGAGAAAAGGGGGCAGTTGTGATCCAAGTTTAAGGACAATCTTGGCTTCTGATGTTTTTCTGCAGTAGGAGTCCTGAAACTCCTGTAAGGGGATGTAGACAGGCCAGTGACATCATTGCTAAGAGAGGTGGAATGGGCAGTTTTTGACTGGGAGAGAGCTTTGATTCTCACAACTCCGACATTTTCCCTGAAATGGCTGTCTCATTGTTTTTACCGTTCTCGGGCAACATTCAGGCACGTTGCATCATTCAGTAAGATAGAGAAAGTGAAAGAGCTGTACCCTGCATTATAGATCTAGAATGAGATGAAATGCCAGTCTGATGGCAGACTGATGGTTTTCTTTGTGTATATTTGGTTTACTGGAATTAAGTATTTATATTTTAGAGCCCTTTTGCATTTTCAAGTCTGTAGAGCACACAGAGGCTTGTGTTTATTTGCAAATATTTAAAACAGCACTAAGGTTGTATGCTTAAAGGTGAGGCTTGCTTGGCATATACCCACACTGAGTTTACTGTCCTTTCACCTGTTCAGAAACTTCTAACTCTCTAAAGGGGGCAGTTTTAAGGTGGTGTAGGAGACCGTGAGTGGGTTTGTTTGAGCTGAATGGATGCTAATTGAAATGATGTGATTTGATGATTAGGGCTGAATACAATCCTAAGAACATTTGAACAGTGTTTGCAAAAACTTTTAACCCATGTCTGGTTTCCACATAAGCCAAAACTTCAGCTTTTTCCACAAATCCACAAGCTTCTAAACTTTGGGTGTTATAGGCTATATGTGTGGACAACAATTCAGAGTGTGCAAGATTGAGATTATACCTACTTCAACAAAACGCTGCTTTCCTTATATGTTTGGGGCAAACAAAGTTTTCTGTTGCCCGTCTACCTTCATTATGAAAGGCTTGTTATAGCCCAAGCTTTGTTACACTGACGCTCTCTGAAAACATCATAGTCATATCAAATAGTATTGTGACCAGAGTGGATTTTTTTTCTGTTTCCTTTTAGGAGCGAGGTGTTGAGGTTCCACAAGTCCTAGGGAGAGGACCGAGTTTCTTCATCCCAGCAACAGAGGTAAAGTAGCAAAAAGATATTTCCAACCATCCGTGTATCCCAGAAGGGTCCAACATTATTCACTGTGCTGAGCAGGGAGACCAAGTGATAGGCTGCATTTGCTTAAAGGTAAAAGCAGTTTAGTCTGACTGTGTTTAATGTGGAACAGGCAAACTTATCACTTAGGGTGTTGACTTGTTCAAATGGGAAACTGAGGCCTGTGATGTGACCAGTGCTAGCTCTTGACTCTCCAGATCCAGCAGGAAAAAGCCAGTGAAATGCCAGTTCTGATTTCCATTAACCATGTCAGTGTCTCTGTACCCATCACTGTGCTGTCCCTTTCACTGCATCCCCAGCTTGTGACATTGCTGAGAGCACATCTCCTGTTTTAAAGAGCTAGTGAGCACATAAATCAAAGCTCACCACTACAGTGCTCCTGAAACAACCCATAAGCATGTTTGTGTGTGCAGTTTAGTGGGAGAGAGAGAGTTGTCTTTTGTGGACGTGGGACTATTGAGGAGTGAATGAGCTGTGAATACTGTCCTGTTACTTATTGGGGGAAAAAGAGCATTCCTTCGTATGGGGTACCTTAACTCTCCCTTCTCTGGACTTCAGATGTTTTTATAATTCCTTTTTTGTTAAGAATTGTGCTCTATAAAACAATGTTTACAGAGAGTAGAGACAATCAATGCCTACATGGACTGGGCCTCTCCCTCAGGTGCTGGGAGTGAGAGGATGTTCTGGCAGGAGTGCAGTTATTCAATCCCTAGTCCTGAGGCAGATACACTGATGTAAGACTTAAGTGTTCTTGCTTATCTAACTTTTAAAGGAAAAGCTTCATTAAATGAGATAAAACTTTGCTTGTTTTTATTTTTTTTGGAGTAAGAGGAATTTCCTATTTATTTATTTTATTTAGAATCATCAGTCGTTTTTTCTCACACCCACCCGATAAGTGTATCCCACCATTCCCTTAGCGAGTGGTACTCAGCCGATTGTACACCACTGCTCTCTGGTGAGCGCCTTTACCACTTGAGCCACTCAGGAGTCCCTGTTTGTTTTTTTTTTACTACATTATACTGATCTCTAACTACTTTGTATTGGGCTGCTGTTTTTGCTTTCAGTCTGAACTGATGCTGATTTCTCCTTTTTTTCCCAAATCATGTGTCACATAATTAAAACTTGACCTCTCTGTGAAATGGTCACTTTTGTTTTTTTTTTTAATCATTCAGAGAGTTTGATTTGTCTGCAAGGGAGTGAATGACACACTGGTAATTAAGACATAGAGCTGAAAAATGATGACAGTCGGGTTTTAGTGATTTTTTTAGCAGCATTATCTGGGAAGAACTGGAGGAATTAAATCTGGTGAATTTATGGTAAAAGCATAAGGCGCTGAATAGTCTAACTCTAGCTCCCCTTAGGGATTTGGTACACACGTGTAATCAATCTATTAATCTGAGAACTGCCAGTTCACGTCGTCTTACTCGGAAGACTGGTCTCCACATGGAGTCTCTCGTGTGCAGCTCACTGCCCAAATCGACCAGAGACTCGGCAGCTCTCATGTTTAAAGCTTTTCCACTGAGCATTTTTAAATGGCTCTCTTGGCTTTGCCCTTTTCACTGCTTCAGTTAGCTGTGCTTATCCCCACGCTTTTAGTACTGTTGTGTAGCTCTCGAGCGGCGTCCATGCGTAGGCGTCTCTGCCTCTGGAGCGAAGCGGGGCTGTAACCCGTGTGCTGCGTTCTCCTCAGATTGCGGAGGAGGGGGTCCAGCAGGGCGAGCAGGTGCTCATCGAGGCGTTCGTGTCCCTGGGCCGGGTGGATCACGTCACCATGGTGATGGGCCTGCACCCCGAGTACCTCAGCAGCTTCCTGCGCGCGCAGCACTACCTGCTCCAGCTGGACGGGCCACTGCCCTACGCCTGGCGACACTACATTGCCATCATGGTACGGTACTGCCTTGTCTGTCCTGGTGGTTCGTCTATCCATTTTCTAGATAGATACTTTATTAATCCCATAGGGAAATTGATGACATTTCTAACTGCTTTATCCAGTACTGGAGCCACAACCTATGCCAGCAAGCAGCGGGTTCAAGGCAGGATACACCCTGGCCCAGATGCCAGTCCTTTATAGGGCACAAACAGACACAGGCATGCACGCACTCACACCAGCGCCAATTCTTCTAGAAGCCAATTAACTTACCAGCCTGTCTTTGGACTGTGGGAAGACACTGGAGTGCCCGGAGGAAACTCACACAAATGCAGGGAGAACATGCAGACTCCACACAGACAGCACCCCAGCATTTGAACCCAGGGACCCAGCGCTGCAAGGCAGCAAAGCTAGCCCCTGCTCCACCGTGCCATTCGTGTTGTTTCATCTCAATACAGTTTTCATTTATCACTTAACCCCAGAGCTTTAAGATCTTCACTTGACGCAGAAGTCAGTGCTCTACCTCCGTCTCCTGCTGTAAACCCCTTCGATTCCTTTGTCTGAAAGTCCTGTCTTTGGTCCAGGCTGCTGCCCGTCACCAGTGCTCCTACTTGGTCCAGCTGCATGCCTCCCGCTTCCTGCAGGTGGGCGGGGACCCCCAGTGGCTGGGGGGGCTCAGCTGCGTGCCCTGGAAGCTGCGGAGCCTGAACGAGCTGAACAAACTGCTGGCGCATCGTCCCTGGCTGGTCACCAAGGAGCACATTGAGGTTAGCACCCCGTCCCGGCCTGGAACGCTGCTATAAACCCCACATTCTGGGTCTTGACGCAGGACCAGGTACCCCCCCGTTGATTCTCTGAGTGTTAAATTAGCTTTCGCCTGGTATTCTTTTCACTGTTCCTCTCCTGGTTGGTTTCTAAGTTTGAACGCCACCGGGTTTGCTCACTAACCTTGGGCAGGGCAGCAGTGTAGCTGCGAAGGGGAGTTTTTGTGAGGCTGCTGTTTGCTTGATGCGACTCCAAACTACAGCCCCCCAGCCCTCACTACAGTATGTTGGGCTATTTCTCTGGTGCTGGTGAGTGACATCAGATGGACGGCAGTCTCAAAGCCACATGCCTGCCTTGTTCCAACTGTAGCCAACATCTTGAAAAGGAGCAAACTGGACCATTAATCCTTCAAGATGCGTAAAAATGTGATTAATGAATGGGGGGTGGAGTCATCCAGATGGTTCCCTCCCGAGTGAAGGCTTAAATGAGTGTTTTGAATGGCGTCTGAGCGCTGCGGTGTTGCTGCTGCAGGCCCTGGTGCGGCCGGGAGGCGAGGGCTGGTGCCTGGCGGAGCTGATCCACGCGGTGGTGCTGCTCACACACTACCACTCCCTCTCCTCCTTCGTCTTCGGCTGCGGCATCAACCCCGAGCCGGACCACGAGGGGGGGCACGCCTTCCGCTCCCCGTCTCCACACCCCACCGACAGCCCTGCGACAGAGGAGGGGGCCAGCAGGCCGGGGGTAGGTACTGCTGGAGGGCGTGGGGGGAGTTATGAGTGGATTAGATAAGGATGAAGCAAAGTCTTATGACACTCAAGGACTGATTTTCATTGTTTTTTGTTCATTCAGTTGCATCTGCTTTGCTTTAGAGACCTCTCTTTTGTTGGAATGCGCTGGCCGTTTATTTCCGCAGTCTCAGAAGCGGGCAACGATGACAAATGTGCAACTTCTCTCGCCGTTCTCTCGCCGCGCCTTACGTTTCGCACGGTCACTCCTACTCTGACCCTTCCCTGTCCCCCTCTTTTCTCCCGGCTTCGCCTTGGACCCCTGTCCACGTGCAGGCGGGGGAGGCCCTGCAGGAAGTGGAGGCCCTGATGAGGAAGATGAGGCTGCTGCAGGAGCAGGAGGAAGAGGCCAGCCAGGAGGAGATGGCCACCCGCTTTGAGAGGGAGAAGAGCGAGAGCCTGCTGGTGGCGCCCTCTGGTAGGTGCCTGCTGCACCCACAGGACCCTCCGCATCCCCCACAGTTCCTTCGGACCTCCAAAGCCGGTTTCTGAGGCTGCGGCAGACCCACCTCTGCAGGATGAGAGAGCCAGGGGGTGTTTCCTAGGCATTTGTCTGAGAGGCAGCCGGTTTGAGGGGACCTGCTATTGTATTCAAGGCCAGCTGACATCTCAACCTGGCGATTTTACTGCATGAATCACATTCATGAAAAATTGTAAAGCAATTTAGCAGGTGCTTTGTTTAAAATGCGAAAGAGAATCGCTGTGGTACAAACCAAAAAATACTTTTTTAACACCAGATAAACATGGAGCTGGATGTGATCCGTTTTTGTCGCTGAAATCTCCTGCAGCCTGGGGTCTTTTTTTTTTTAAATACAGATGTTTGGAGCCGTGCGTTGCGCTGTCAGAGTCAGTGAAACTTTGATGTTTCACTCTTATCAGCCAAATGTAGGATGTGACTGAAAACACAGGTTACTTCAGTGTTGGAACGTTCAGTCATGCGATGTTCACAATTCCAACACCTGGCCTGAACGTTAACAACCGGATCTGACTCTCTTGTGATATTTTAAAATGTCTTGACTTCAGTTTCAGTTCAGTCTGAAAGGGTTGTTGTAAGAGGCTGTTAAATTCAGACGAGATGGTATTTCTTGTGTGAATCCGAATCCCCTTGAAGCAAAATGTCCGGCCTGCCCTAAGTCACCTGACTTTTTGTGGAAGACGGTTGGTCGGGTGGCAGTTTAAAAACAAAGAAGCTGAGGTTGCCCAGTGTCAGTGATTATCTGCAGTCCAGGAATAGAGTAGATCTTCCTCTCATAAAGATTGATTTTTTTTTTTTAATCTGGTGAGTGGATCAGCTGGTTATGCAAAGTGGGTAGCTGTAAGTAAAGCAGCACTGTCTTTTTACCCTAAGGATGTTTTGTGTTTCTTTTAGCTGCACCTTCCTTTAAAAGATCTTGTGACACCCCACCCTAGTGTATCACAGATATATCCTGCATCACGTAATGCATTGTGTTCTGTAGATGACAGCACACGGCCCACCCCTGCCACCGTGTCCTGTTTTGTGGAGGATCCCGATTTTGGCTACGAGGACTTCACTCGTCGTGGGGAGCAAGCGCCACCTACCTTCCGTGCCCAGGTACTACACCCTTCTTTCAACAGAGGTGACCCTGTGGCTGTGTTCACAATGTGCAGAGTTTGCAAGGGAAACATTTCTTTTCAGATATGCTCCGTTACCGTGGCTGTTAACTTTTAAAGACTTCTGATCACCAATTTGCTTTGTTGTTGTTCCTTAAAAGGAGAGGGCTTCACAAAAGTTTCTTATTACATTTTCTAAATGCCACCAGTTGGTTTTATTTTGCTTTTTTCGCTTGCGTATCTGCTTAAGTTTGGCTGCTAAATATAATTTGTTGTCCTTTTTTCTAAGCGGTGCTATTTCAAAATTAGGTTTTGGCATAAATGTAGTACACAGTGGCGGGCCGTGAGATTATGAAGTCAAATATAAACCTGGGGGCATGGAAGAAGCTACCCAGCCATGTTGTTGAAGCCAATATCCTGGTTTCTTTCAAGAAATAGCTAAATGAAATCCTTGGCTCAATTACTGCCTACAAAATGACCTAGATTGGATTAATGGCCTCCTCTTGTTTGCAACCTTATGTTCTAAACAAATTCGAGAGCTTTTCTCCAGATGCATCCGAAAAGAAAGGTTTTTGTAGGATTGTATTTCATTCAGCATGAAAGGGCAGCCCCATTAATGAGACTCCCCTTATTTTCATTCTGTTTCTGGATTTACAGGACTTTGAGCTAGTCCTTGTATAAGAAAAAACAGTGGTCAATACTATGCTGAAGAGTAAAAAGAGCACAGTACTCACCTTTATAAATGTCAAGCATTCCTTAGGGTGTGAAGAAATTTCTCTTGACATGAAGGCTCCAGAGTTGTAGTGTTGTATCCTTTGCTTTTTCTGTCACTTTTCAGCATGAATAAACTGCTTATTCATTTGCAGTCTGCATGCCGGCGCAACTCCATGCTCTTAACGTACTAGTGTTTAAAGCTGTGTCACTTATTGTTGTAGATGCTAATTGGCTTTCAGTTGAGGTGTACCTTGCAGGAGTCCATCATTCAAGAGCTAGATTGTCCTATTCTGGTAACAGTGTTAATATATTAACCCTTAATCTGTCATTCATACCAATAATCTGTGTGGAGCACCAGAGAAAACTGGGACTGAAGTTGCAAGAACAGTTTCTCCATGGCAAGTGGGCGAAATACCCAGTTAGGCAGTCAGACTGTTGATTTGTGTAGCTCAAATCAAGCCTTACGCTGATGGGTCTGTACTGTCCTCTGGTCTTGCCAAGGTTCTTATCTTCACATGGCTGTCTCTCTCTGAACAGGACTACTCCTGGGAGGATCACGGCTACTCCCTGATCAACCGGCTCTACCCAGATGTGGGGCAGCACCTTGACGAGAAATTCCAGGTAGTCTCCAACTTGACTTACAACACAATGGCCATGCACTCCGGTGTGGATACCTACATGCTGCGCAAAGCCGTGTGGAACTACATCCACTGCGTCTTTGGGATTAGGTGAGGCTATGTGCGAGGTGCGCTTTTGGGATCACAGCCCATGGGCATGTGCTGAACCTGCTCCAGATGGTCAAGAGAACTTTGGTTTTCTCAGGCAGAATGTGTTGTCTTTCTTAAAACTTGAACTGTGTACAACTCCTATGTATTCCTGAAATAGTAGGTGCTTTTTCTCATCTCATTTTCTTTCTGCAATCACATATTTAAGTAATTTCTGTACTATTTAATCAGAACGTAACCATTTCAACCAGTTTCAGGAAACCTTTTTCCCTAGTGAGGGTACAATGCAGCTTTACATGAAGTGACAAAAAAGTATTTTTGTTAGTGTTTTCTCAGATCTATTTTTGATCTAACAGTGTAGGTTCTCACAGCCAAAAGGCTTGAAATGGGCTCTATTGCAGGCTACTATACTCCTAACACACTGTCAGTAAAAGCATGGTATAAACCAAAGGGTGCTCCCACTGCTGAAGACATGCAGTTGGTTTGTGATCAGAAGTTGAATGAGCTGGAGAGACTGGCCTCCTTTTATTCATATCTTTTGAGCTGCTAAATGTACTATGATGCGCAAAACAAATGTGACATTGAGGTCTGATGTATTTAATCAAATTTATCGCCAAGATCCCAGATAATATGAACAAAAACTAATCTAAGAATCACAAGTTTTCAGTACGGGATGTAACACTTCAGTACAGTTATGTGACAAAAGTTGTCCTGTTTCAGGTTTCTCATGTTTATGACCTTAACAACTTGGTCAGGCAGATGGTTATGTCAGGTGAAAGATTTGGTCAAATCAAGAGCTTGCCTTTTCCTTTCCAGAGTTGTGCTATTGTAATCCAAGATCTGTGGTCTTGCATTGTCATGCCAGCAAATCATTATTTATGGCCATTCTCTGAAAGTATATTCATTTAAAAAGAGGTGTGGGTGTGATGTGGGCTCTTGCAGGTATGATGACTATGACTATGGTGATGTCAACCACCTACTGGAGAGGAGTCTGAAGGTTTACATCAAAACTGTGGCCTGCTACCCAGAGAAGACCACCCGCAAGATGTACAACGGCTTCTGGAGACACTTCAGACATTCAGAGAAGGTACAGTGAGGCTAGCTAGACCAAGAACTGTTCTTACTTCTGATGTAGTAAAGATGAGAGATGCAAATCATTAACAATGTGTGAACAGGTCTTCTTGCTTTACAGGCTATTTATTGACCAACCTTTTTGATTGGGAAAAGTGCACAATTTGGCCTGTAGTTGTAACCTAATAGTTGTGGGTTTTAAAACCCTAAGTGGGGCACCTCTGTTTTACCCTTAAGCAAAGCACTTCCTTCAGATTGCTCCAGTAAAATACACAGTAATTAAAATATAAATGGCTGCAGATGAAGGTTGCTTTGGATAAGAACATGTCATTCGCCAAACCGCTTTATACCATACGGTGTCGCGGGAAGCCAATGCCTAAACAGCAAGCAACGAGCGCAAGGCAGGGTACACCCTGGACGGGGCGCCAGTCCATTGCAGGACGTGTGCAAGCCTGTCATACATGGGGACGATTTGGAGGCCATGGTAAAGGCCGAGGGGAGAAATTTGGCCCGGACACCGGGATAACTCCCTACTGTTATTGAGAAGTGCCCAGGGATCTTTAATGACCACTGAGAGTCAGGACCTTCAGTTTAACATATCATACGAAAAGATGGCGCCCACTACAGTATAGTGTCGACACCACCATACCGCATTAGGACCCACACAGACCGTAGGGTGGGCGCCCCCTGCTGGTCCCACTAACACAACTTCCAGCAGCAATCACAGGTTTTCCCAGGAGGTCTCCCATCCAGGTACTGACGAGGTTCAACCCTGATTAGCTTCAGTTACTGCCAGTTGAGAGCTGCTGGGTGATATGGCTGCTGGCTGGATAAGAACATCAAGTCAATAATTAAAGACCTTTGATTTTGTGTTCTTTAGTACCAAGCCTTTTCATCTTTGGAAATGATGTTTTAAGAATCTTTAATTTTTGTCTTATGGATTTTCCTTTTTAAAGAAGTGACTGCAGCCCATGGGTGGTGGCATTGTGCTTGAGCCTGCGGTTTATTGTCAGTTTGGAAATGAGCAAGGGGGGGTCTTTCTGTTTTATAGCCCGCAAGCACTGTATATTGATTTATTTTGTATGGTACTCTGACAGTCTTGATTTTTTTTTCTCCCCCCTCTACTTTTTAATAACACTGGCTGTTGATTCCCGGCTGCAGGTCCACGTCAATCTGATCCTGCTGGAAGCACGCATGCAGGCGGCCTTGCTGTACTCCCTAAGAGCCATCACCCGCTACATGACGTGAGGGGCAGCCCTTCCACTTCCCTGGCACCTCACTGCTCCCTCCCGCTGGCCCTGGATGGGGCACTCTCCACTGCCATCACCCTGTCCCCCTAATGCTCACGAGTGCATAGGAATTTAGTGACCTGTTGATGGGAGGAATTCTGACGTAATGGCTTGTATCCTCACTCTAAATCAGTACGGAGGCTTCATGGGTTCTCCTGCTCTTTCCTGCACAGTGCACCAGGTGTAACAGGGGACTTCACAGCTCTGTCTCTATATGGTTGTGGACTTTGAAACTAATTCACATTTATCCCTGCTTCACTTGGGTGTGGGATGTCTGTGTTGTTACCAGTGTTTATTCTTTATTTATATGTTGTAATGTTTTAAGAACTGTTCTGAAAGGAAAGCTGTAAGGTATGTGCTTATCCCAGTTTTCTGATTCCAGTCAACTTTACCCACCTTGCCAGTCCGTGCTGGGCAGTGATACCAAGTACCACCCACCTGCCAACTGGGTCTTTCATTGGCACATAGATTCCAGCTTCAACTGGAGAAAAAAGGATAAAACTACACTGGTTCCGGTGTAGTTTCTGTTCAATAAATCAATACACTAGCTGCAAATTGAGTGTTGATTTAAGAGCCCATCGTGCTTTGCAGGCTGTCCTGTTGGGGGTGCCCTGCTAAGTCATTACTGCCTTTCTCCAATCTGCCTGGTTAATGAGCACATTTGGTGTTGTATCATTTTGTCAGCTAAAGTGGATAAATGTTTGCCTTGGTGTAGTCAATGCAAACACCTGTTCTGGCAGGTAATTAGATTGCTAATGTGCAATGAAACCGCTATACAGGAGCTTTGCTACCTTTGAACTGAGACCAGCTGTGAAGCTGGTGCTGAAGGTTCAATGTGTATTACCTTATCTTGAGTGTATTTCTATTTGTGTGAAGTTCAGATAATATTGCTTGCTTTGCTTCACTGCTTCTTTACTACAGTGTGTTCAGGAGTCTGCAGCTTGTGAAATGCAATCTCTGATTGGTTTCCTGTTTTTTGCTTTGTCACTTTAGGAAAAAAAAATTGCAATTAACTTTAGTCCGGTCACAGAAACACAGAATCTAATGCTAAAATGTTATGCTGGTTCAGTAGAAAGAAATTCCATCAGAAATTTTAGACTGCAGGTTTATACCTCTTACTGTGTCTTCTATACCCATATTTTTTCTTAAATTGCTCTCAACCTCTGTGTTTGTGCCTAACATGTCTCCAACCAATATCTCAGGACCACAGTGCATCTATTTTTTATAATAATGGCAACCTTATCTAGGCCATCGCAGGCTTTGCTGATATTTCAAACCCAATATTTTTCATAAGTATTTGTTTTATCCATTATGGTTATTCACAAGTGATGCAGAAATTTTTGTGTAGATTGGTTTTTGTACACAAGTTAACTTTTGAAATAGGTATTAATAAAATAACGTGGGGGGGATTTTTCATTGGTAGGTATTAGTTGAATATTTAGTTAATGTCTCCCATCCTTTTTGCCTCTCATTAATTTCTACCTCACCACGAGTCATTACACACCTCACTCGTCAAGCCTCATGGATATGTCTTCAGCTTTGAGCAAACAGCTCTTTTTGGAGTTGCCATTCTCCCTCCCGAATCAGTGTTTACTTGGTGAGAATTTGGTGCACAGTTTAATACCACTTTGTATACTGTGGTGCAAAATCCAAGGCACAAATGAAAGGAGGGGTGTCAAATCCAGGCTCACTTTTTTTTTTCCAGCTCTGTTTGCGGCAGACCAGACTTAACTTGAGAATTTTAGGAGAGTTAACTCTTAGTGAACTTGGGAGTTCCCTTTAAGAGTTCATCTGAGTTTTGGAGAAGCAGCCTGGATGCAATATGAAAAGGAAGTTCTTTAATCAGTTACTCCATGTGCAGTTTCAGCATTTACATAACTGCAATCCAGCCTCAGCAGGTACATGTTCGAGTATATGCTGATCCCTACACTTCATGCGAATGTTCACTTGTGAATATACGCTCGTATATTAAAACTGTGAAAGAGAGGCCCATGAGGGCAATTGTCATGGGTTCCCCGAGGCTCAGGCCTCCTGTTCATATTAAACAATATCTGCAGGCTCCTTGACCTCTCCCCCCCTCTGTCAAGCTCTGGAGTGTATGTCTTAGTGAATCTTCCCCAGTTTCCCCAGAACTACTAACTGGAGTATGTGCTGGAGAGCTGCAATCTTTATTAAGTGCCAATGAGCACCCCCCCTCGTGTCTCATGTTCATGCAGACTCAATCTTTCTTAACAGCATGGCACTGGGTTATTAGCACAATAGATTGCAGTAGATTGTCCCTGTTATTTTGCTCACAGAATGTTTGCACTGTTTTCTTGGGCTGTTTAGCTTGTGTGATGCATTTTTTTACATTTTGGGATATTGCTTCCATGCTCTGTTTCTTTGATTGAAACTGTAACCGCGGTGATCGAGTACAGTGTTTCTGTGCTGTCAGTGTTCAAGCGTTACCTATGGAGAGCCTGTTGGTTTTCAATTAGTGACTGTGACATTTCAAGGGAAGGTTCAGCTTCTGGCAATCTGAAGCTTTCCTTTCTCCAAAGCATTGTTCAAAATGTCATTCTAATTAAGAATGACAGAATAGCAAAACATATCAACGGTCCTTTATACCCCCTGTATTGGAGAAAGCTTTATAGTATAGTCAAACGACAGTCATTAACCATTTTGTAATGTTTCAAACATATTTTATAACTCATTTTGTGAAGATGAGTACAAACTTTAAGAAACCAGGTGTTCCCGAATCTTGCAAAACTGCACTGAGTCCAATTTAACTCCTTCCAGAGAGATTAATCAGGTTATATTTTGGTTATCAGCAGTATTGGATATATTATATACAATTAATGCTCTATCCAACAAGAGGAAGAAGTTAAAAACCAACAAACTGACCCGCAGTCACATTCAGCAATGGTCTGCATCTGACCTTGAATGTGTACCCATATTATATGCTTGTTTTGTTTGGAAATCTAGCTTTATGTGTTGGGCAACACAGACACCAGTCTAGTGAGACTGGGCTGTTCCAGCCTGTCTCATGATGGAATAGGGTTAACGCTTGGGGATATCCAGCTAAATGGGGTTGGGCTAGTGAAATCACAACTTCTTTTCCTGCCACAGGTATGGAGCAGCACTAAGCACTGGAATTGGGTACAAGCATGAGTCGTAAATGAGAATCGAGTCCGGGTATGGTTAAGGTTTTGGGATTCTCAGTGAATCCCCCTTTTTGGCTAGCTTTTGCTTTTAAATTGTATTTTATAAAGCCATTTCTACCGATCTGCCAAGTATTACTGGGTTTCTCAGTCCCTACTAAGTATGTTCAGGTTTTCATTCCACTCAAGCCCTTCGTTAATTTGGACTAGCAATTTCATGGTTTCATAATTCACCTTGAAAAAGGTATTACACAGAACCAAGTTCTCTGTGATACTCCTGCAATACTGTGGTGACATTCTCGAGAGGTCAGCTTAATGACGCTCTCAAATGACTTCAGATTGGTGATTCTTTTAAAAAAACATTTCTGCAACATAAACTTAAAACCTCCCAATTGTTTATGAGCAGAAAAACATTAGGAAAAGCTAATGTAGTGAATTTCTAGTTCATTTAAGGGCTCTTACCGCAGGACGGGGCTGGAATGGAAACCAGTTGTGTGAGGTAGGTAAATGGTTGAAAACCTGTGTATGTAGCATCTGCAGTCTCCTTAAGGTGTGAGGCACAGCACTTTATTCTGATTGCTTTGAAAGCACAATGCTGCTGTTTGTGATTTGACACTACTTGATGTGCGTCATTATTTTTTCATTTGACAAGAGTCTGCTGTTTTATTTTTCTTTTTTTCGTGGTACAGATGACCTCCTTTGTAACACTTGAATGTAGACCTCACAGTCAGAAAGATTGACGTCCGGCGATTGTGTGAATCCACTTCAAATAAGTAAATAAATCTTGAGTTGGATATAAAACGGATCGTGATCGTGGTCCCTGGTTTGTAAAGAAAGATGAAAACTGAGTGAATTGGGAATGTCTGTGACACTTCAATCCTGGTTCTGGAGTACCTCTGGACAGATTTTTATTCCAGCTGGATGCATAATCACCAGTGATAATTAGTGCCCTTAACTGATACGATCTCTGTTGTGTGTGTATATATAAAAAAAAGACTGGGGAATGGGGGTTATTTCCAAGAACTGCTTGTCTTTGGACTTACACTGTGACTTTAAGGGGACCTGATGCAAGTATTTAAGATATCAAAGTATTTAAAAAACAAACTGGAATACTATAGAAACTCAAAGCATTTCTTTAGGATTGTGGGGTCTGGAAGGACCTGCCCCACCAAGTTGTAGAAATGGATTCCTTGGGATCCCATAAGAACAGCCAGACAAGATCCTTAGATCAATAAGCTTCTTTGATTGAGATGGGCTGCAGAGCTTCATCCCACTTGTGAGCTGTCTTATATGCTGATTCAGTAGGTCTCAGTCCTGGAGGACTGCTGGGTTTGAATTCATTCCTGCACCAATTCCTGTTTTTAACATTGAAACCCCCTTAAAGCAGAATTTGTGTAATTGTGAAGAAAGCCCCCCCCCCCCCCACACACACACACACACACTCTTTCTGAACAGTTGATCTGATTCGCCTAATGTATTGCATCTATTTCCAAAATTCAGTTCAAGTGATCAGTCAAAAGACAAAATTGCAGGTTGTTGAAAGTGTTACAAATGTGCCTGTCAGCTCGCCTAGATTGTTCTGGGTGTTCTTCTTTAGAATTTTACCGGAGTGGCATCTTCTATTTCACAGCCAACTAATCCTGAGCTTCACTTGAACACCCACCCGAGTGGAGAGGGAGGTTCTAAGTGATTAGGCAAAAATGGCTTAATGACTATTTAAATGAGGAAAATGCAAGGCTTTGCTGAGTTAATGACACATATACTGAGCTAGGGTAGTAATTAGCATAATAGCAATATAAATTAAAAACAACTAGTGCCTGGTTTATGTGTATTCAGAAGCCAAAAAAAAAACCACACATCAGATCTTTATCATTTTCAGCATTTTTTAATGTTTGGTTTTTCATGTCCTGCAAACAAACCCAGTTTACAGTTTAATGATTGCCTCACTGGTCAGAGGAGGGTGGTTTGTCTGAAGGTCGATCCCACAGTCCTGAAAGATTGCGTTGTTAACAACCCAGGAGAATGAACCAAATTTGTAACCACTGTCCTTGCGCTGGAGTAAGGCAAACTGGGGACGCTAAAGTCTCCTTTAGTTAAGAGAAGGCTCTGGGTTTTCAGCAACGGAAAGCGAATTGGAGTTTTTCTTTCAGCATCAAGCTTGGGGCTGTGTGCAATACATGACTCATGACGAAGTATTATATTCTAGTTTAATTTATAAAAACAAGCACCAAAACGTAAGTTTGTAGAGTCCAATCATATATTAAATTAGCTTTTTATATCATATATAATAGATACCTTTGTGTAGTGAGATAGTAGAAAGTGAAGAAACTAAGAGACAGTTATACACACAATAAATCTGATCCACCTTGCTGTTGGTAAAGTAAATAAATATTTCTATACACCTCACCAGACATCACCAGGGGTGTAGATGCAGATAAAGCCGGGGGGTTTAAGTGATAGCCCACTCTGCAGAACAGTGCTGACTAACACTCAAGTTCAGTGCTTTGCTCAGAGTGTTAGCAATGGTCTTTGGTGCCAGTGACAGCTGCACAGAAGCAAAGCAACACCTTTCCATGATGCAAGAGAAAAGCTGGGCCCACCTCCTGCGGGCCTGGCCAGGAAGGGTCTTCAGTATGTTTCAGAATGTGGCTTGGAAGACGAAGGGTAGGAAGGAGTGCAGGGAAGGAGGTGGTGGCGAAGATGATTGACGAGGTTCCTGCTTGGCTTTAGACGATTTTGTTCTCCAGCGCTGCGATTCTCTTTGTTACTGCTTCCAGTGATGCTGAGGTTAAGGAATGCAGCTCGCTTTTGCAACAGATATGTTCTGTCTTTTTTTTTCCCCCCATTTTCAATTTTCTGTCCCTGGATAAGCACGTGAAAAACTCTTACGCCAACACCTTTGTTGCAGGCTGACCTAAGATGGGAGCTGATCCCGAATAAGTGCACACAAGTGGAAACTATGGGGAGAAGTACTTTTAAAACTGAAAGTAGGACTGCATGACTGTGGGGGTCTGTCAAAGCTGATACCCTGAATTCTTCCGGAAATAGATGGGTGATCCTTGGATCCATTGCTATTAGCAACCAAACAAGGCAGATGGGCCAAGTGGCCTGCTCTCATTTGTAACCCTACCTCTGGTTTTATGAGCTCTTTTTTACAGAGCAAATTTAGAAGACTGAATTATATTCAGAAGCAGCAAGAGGGAATTGTTCAGAGAGCATGCATGCAAAGGTATGATACTGGGGAAACAAACTGCAGGGAAATGCAGGCAATCTTAACCACCACTCTATAACCCCCTCCCCCCCCCTCCAGAGATCTGTCACAACCTCTTCCACTCACCGTCTCTTACAATTGTGTTCAAAAAGTCCTACGAGACATTTTTATGCGTTTATCTTCAGAATGCACAAAGATTCCTGTATGACTTACCACAGCTCAGAAAAAACTACACTCCCCAGTGCTTCCTCACTTTCAAAAAGGATATATTTTTTTGTTAACGCTTTTATGTCATCCTCTACTTTTGTCCGGAACTTGACGATGGATTCACATTCACAGGGGTTTTCTTCTGGAAGACATTGTAGGAGAAATGGAGAAAGTATTAGGGTTTACGATTGATTTGGACTGTGACAGGCAAGCAGTTATATCCTGTTGTCATTGTAGCCTGTGTCTTTATAGTCTGTGCCCGTCTGCCTGTCCTTCAGTGAATATGTATATATAGGCTTCACTGTGAGATGCAGCATCTGTGTGCACCTCTCTCAATGAAACGTTCTCTCATCTCTGTATTTCTAAGGCAGATATCTGTGCCCATCCACCCTTCAAGCTGTAGTACTTGGTTCTTATTTTTCCTGCATGTAAACTGACCGGTTATTTAGGTGATTTTCCCACAGTTGACTCAATGGGAAATGTGGCTCCATGAGTGCTTTTCCTTTACTGAAAACATGAAGCCTGTGTGTCTGCCTCTCTCAAGCTGGAGCCCTGTGTGTATCTTTCCTAGTTCGGGACATACCCTTGCAGACTTTGACATGCAGTTTTTTTGCGATCTGGTTAATGGTCTTGAAGTCGGCTGTGTAGAAGTAATGCTGTGGATCTGAGGCAATCTCCTTCAGCTCGTCTTCCACAGCGTTGCCAACTCCTACTGCATACATCTTAAACTCTGCAAGAGAGGGCACACACCGAGATGAAATACGCAGTTCCATTGTTCAAGTAGTTCTTTAAGATACAATCTGCAATTACAAAATAGGGTTGCAGCAACCAAATAATATGATGGTATCAGGCTTTTTTTTAGATATGGTCTGAAAGGGCTGAATTTGGGGCTGGGGCTAATTGGTATTTAATCTGTATGACAGACTTTGAAAGCAGATGGTTTGGGTCTTGAAATTTAAAGCTTGAAATCTAGCAGCACTATTGGCAAGGATAAATTCTCTTCAGAGACTGAAACCCTCACAGAATGTTACCTGGGTCTCCCTATGTTTCAGCTCTATTATTGTTCTACCAACTTGCTTAATATGGGCTATTAGTTCACCCCTGCTTCACCATTTTATATGTATGTTGGGTTGGCGATAAACTAAACCATTGATGATAAGTAAATTCCCTATCCATGCCTTAACCAGACCCAGCTCTCTTTCTAAGATTAGATGAAATTAGGTATATCAGGGTGGAACTCTTATAAGCAATATCAAAATACACATTCTCTTCTTTCAGTTACAGAAACTATATTATTGGACTTCCAACAGAATAGCCACTGTGCTATTCTAAATGCCCATAGACACACTTTTTCTGTAAGGATTATCTACCAGAAATTCCTGTCACTTCTTGTTAAAGAAAAAATCAATTATCCCACTGTCACTCCCATAGAGTGTTTCAAGTCAGTGTGATCCTCAGGAGCTGTCATCACAGTGCATAGCTTCTGCAAACTGTGAAAACAGAATTTTTCAACATGACTTCATTGGTGGGTTTAAAATTGGTGCACAACTTGTATATTCTCCAGCATGTGGTGTATTTATTATTTGCAGGATTTTTGTTTATTGATGGAATGGTGTGCTTTACACAATTTCTCCTCCTTGGCATTTTGAGGGCTTCAGAATCTGATTTATTAAAAATCCATTATTTGCTGAGGGGGACGATTTTATTTTCCCCACAAGCATATTTATTAGCCTGGCATCACACAGTGGTCACATCCCTCTTTCCTTACCCTTTTCCTTGGCCTTCTTGGCAGCATCCCCAATGTAGTCCTGGGAGCGGCCATCGGTGAACACAATGCCCACCTTGGAAACTCCAGGACGAGCCCCGTGGCTGACTGAGAAGCTGTTGTCCACCAGGTACCGCAGAGCCTGGCCAGTCATGGTGCCCTTCTCCATGTAGGACATGTTCTTGACCGCGTCCTTCAGGTCCTTCTTGGTGTTGTATAGGCCTAGAGGGAACTCCTGCCTCACTGAGCTGGAGTACTGCACCAGCCCCACGTGGGCTTTGTTCTCTGCCACATCCAGCTTGTCCACGATCTGGTTGATGAACCTCTTGACCAGCTCAAAGTTCTCAGGCCGCACGCTCTTGGAGCCATCGATCAGGAAGACCACGTCAGTGGCAGAGGAGCTGCAGGCTGCGGGGAAGGAGAGACAGGGGTGTTACAGCGAGGGCAGGAGGTGAGAAGAAGCAGTCTATCACTGCAGTTGAGGGTTTTAGTCAGCCCTTTAGGCAAACTTCTAATCAGTTCCTATTACCAGAATTTCTGAATATACATGTTCCAGATACCTTCTAAACAGAGTTGTGATGGTCTTAATCCTGATATCTAGACAAGTTTTGAAAGACAATAACTTGGTTTTATTCACGAAATGGCACACTGAGATCCTCCACTCAAGGAGTTATCTAACAAATGGGCTAGATGGGCCAAATGACCCCCACCTGTCTATAAAGTTTTCTAGGTTCAGGGCTGCCAAAGCTGTGACCTTTCCATTATAATACTATCAGCTTCTTAATTGCTGTATTGATTAGGCTTAGTGTCTGTTAAAATATCAAGAGCTATTTTCTTACAAAAGTCTACAAAGGAGTGGACTGGAAGAGCTGCATTTTCTTTTATGAAAACATCAAGCAATTAATTTTTAATGCCAGGCACTGGAGTCTGGAGAGTGTATTGGGACAATCTGAAACATAGGTCTTTGCACATTTTAATTGCCTGTCAAGGCAGCATTTTATCTGCTATGGAGGCCGTTACTGACCAGACTGTGTCCTGATAATAAGAGAGATGTGAATCTTAATTGTTTGGTGGTCTCAGCATGTGCTGTCATCTGATTATGTGTGATAAATGTAATAGATTTATAAAGACACTTGGGAACGAGATGGCTGTGCTTAATGATATCATTTCATTCCCATTTCTTTAACTTAAACTTTAATGGAGATACTGGATATATTAAGACATACAAATATCTAACAAAGTACAGTGAGAGACAGGATTGAAAACAGTTTGTAGACTGAAAGTTGAACATTAGAATCTGTCATTAGCTGATTATTGATGGGTTTAAAAGGCATTTGCACACTTTCCGACTGGCCCAACCTGCCAATTTCTGGATGCAACCAGGAAACAATAAAATATATTCACAAATACAGACAGCTGAGACATTTTTTGTAAAATGATAATATTAACATTAACATTCCCAGTGTTTCTTTGTAATTTGTCTTTTCCCTTGCTTAAAAGACAACACTCACATCTTGGTCAAATCAAAAAGATTGAAACTTAAAAAAAAAACAAATTTGTAGTATTTTCCAACTGGACATCAGTTAAACAGAAAAGTAAACTCACAGCTTTTCAATTCTTTTACTCTGCTTTTATTAATAATAATTATTCTTTGTACTTATATAGCACTTTTCTGGACACTCCACTCAAAGTGCTTTACAGGTAATGGGGAATCTCCTCCACCACCACCACCAGTGTGCAGCACCCACCTGGATGATACGATGGCAGCCATAGTGCACCAGTACACTCACCACACACAAGATATCAGTGGGGAGGAGAACAGAGTAATGAAGCCAATTCATAGATAGGGATTATTAGGAAGCCATGATTGGTAAAGGGCCAATGGGAAATTTGGATAGGACGTCAGGGTAACACCCCTACTCTTTTCAAGAAATGCCCTGGGATTTGTAATGACCACAGAGAATCGGGACCTCAGCTTGACGTTATCTCATTCGAAGGATGGTGCCTTTTTACAGTTTAGGGTCCCTGTCACTATACTGGGGCATTAGGACCCACACACACACCACAGGGTGAGCGCCCCCTACTAGCCCCTCTAATACCTCTTCCAGCAACAACCTTAGTTTTTCCCAGAAGGCCTCCCATACAGATACTGACCAGGCTCACACCTGCTGAGCGTCAGTGGGCTGCCAGTTGTATGTTGCAGGGTGATATGGCTGCTGGATTGTACAGTACCACACTGGTACACTTCAGTGAGGGCTGCTGTCAGCTATGTGGGATATGGGCAGCTTTAACCACTCAGGCACTGGAAGACAGATGGCCAGCTCCATCCTGGAGCTGAGAAGTTTGTAGGAGTGTCCAGTAGAGATGACACTTGGGACACGCCTTGGACACTTACCACTGCAGGACTTGCCATCTTCCAAGAGAGTGAAGCCTTCATTGCAGGCACACTTGTAGGAGCCGGGCATGCTGACGCACACCTGCTCACAGTCATGGTCACCTGTTGCACAGAGGTCAGACACTGCGGGAGGGAGCCGCGAGGGCCTGGTTAGAGTTAGCGTTAGAGAGGAGAAAACAGTACTAGCTCTGTCCGAACACAGGGACAGTGGGATTATTTTAAGGATACACCACACAGTTGACATTAAGCATAAATCTAATTGAGTAGGCCAAGAATGCACAGAGTTAGAGGAGTAGCACACCTACGCAGACCCACTTTCCTGTTTTCACCTCCCGTACACTGCGCTGGTTTCTTAAACAGACTTTCTTTATTTGGTTGGTACAAACTTTCACTTTGAGGTCAGATCAAAGGTTTTGCAGTTACTGTATGAGACACTTTGAACCTGTAATCTAACACCATCATTTATCAGGTGTGCAGAAACAGTCATTCGAGATGACCAACTGCTTCTGCAGAATGAACAGAAGGTGAAATCAAAGGAAATTAAAGAGCTGGAGAAAACCAAATTAAAAAAATTGTTAAGCAGCCATAATTTGGTTATCCTATATTGTATAAAGAATAGCTTTTAGACAACTAATAGCTAAACTCTAAGCCAACTACTGAATTTGTGTCTCAGACATTTGTAGGATTACAGTGACGTCACAGCCACAGACCACTGGCAGGGAGCTGAGCTGGGGTATTTGCTGCGAATTCTGGTAATAATTAACACAGACTGGAACAGATAGCACAGCAAATACAGTATTATCAGCACCAAGGCACAGAAAACTGTGGCATAAACAGATCAGGCCTACAGAAGGCAATCCCACACCCCATTCTGAGACGACAAACAAAAGTAGTTACTACAACACACCTGTCTCCGCTGTCCGCAGGAATTATGATTATTTTCCTCAGTTATGCTTTTTCTGACTTTACTTACCTGTGAAATTTACTTTTTACACCTGTAATAGGACTGGGATAATGCAGGTAACATCTCATTCCTTCTTAAATGATTAGGACTCAGGAAAAATACTTATCAGTTTGACATTTCTGTTCACTTTAAAAGACACTCTTCTGATTATCCAGGTACTGTAAATGTCTTGCATCAAAATTGTCAGCTAACTTATCAGTGGGGCGTTCCTCCACAGTTCAGTCTTAACAAAGGATCTTTAAAGTGATGTTATTAAACTTAAAGGGTCACAAACATTTCTCTTCCACACAAATTGAAGAGGAGACAGAATACTCAACTAGAGTTCACTCATACTCATCTAGATCATTCCAAAGTGGACAGCTTATATTTCCAGTATTAATGTGGTTCCGTAACTAGTCATACATGGTCAATGTTCACACCTCTGGAATCTTTAGTCTTTAGTTTTCTCCTTAATTTAGTTTTGACCCTCGAGGAGCTAGTCTCCTGAAGGTTGAATGCATTCAATATTTTAAAACTTTCTGTGTCTGAGGGCTGGGTGTGAAATAAAACATTAAAAAAGAAAAATGAGTGAGCATCAGTGGTGCTTCTCTTTGCTTAAAAATTCAGGAAGTTTTGATGAATTTTCAAAGATTTGAGTGTTGCTGCTTCCAGAATGTCTTGGTAATCTTTTCCATTCATTAATCATCCTTGGTAAAAAAAAAAAAGTTTTTTTTTCCAAATTGAATGGTTCAAATTGAGTGGCTGCATTTTGCTTGCACAACTTAAATTTACAAGTAGTGCAGTGTCAATCTTATTTATTCCCTTTAAAATCTTGTTTTACACAGATTTTTGCAAGACCTAAAAAGTGTGATTTTGTTTGTGATTATGGAGACAGACTGTGGTCCTGCAATCTGTTTTCATAACTTAATTTAGTAATTTCTTTAATCTCTACAATGAGTCTAGATGCTTTGAGCTTTCTCAAAGTTTTTCATATTTCTGCTGCAGTGCTGTATTCTTTCAGCATTACCCTTATTAACTTGTGTTTAACTGCAGCAATTGATGTGGTCTAGCTTTTTTCACAGAAGTAGTTCCTGCTATTGCATTGCAGGATGTTTTACAGCAAAAAAGCTACTAAAAACAACTATTCCTTTGTGTAAATTATGCTAAGACAATAGCAGATACAAATTATATTAATAACTGCCTTATCTTGATAGTGGGTTTGAGGTGCTGCGCTTCTAGTGGATAACATGTGGTTGTTTTGGTCTAAAACCGCCTGCCCAATTCAGAACAACCAGATACGACAGACAATCAAATGTGTCTTGACTGCGCTGCCAGTGCACTCACCACAGAAGGCCTCCTGGAACTTCTTGGTGAGTTTCTCAATGATACTGTAGCTTTCCACGTAGTCGACGTGGTCCTCCAGGGGTGTGCTGGCGATCTGTCGCAGCGTGTTCATGTCCACCCGCCCCACGCCAATGGCGAATATCTGGATCCCCAGATCCCGGGCCCGCGCTGCCACGTCTTTCACGTTGTCCTGAGGACGCCCATCCGTCACGATGATGGCCACCTGACCAGGGCCGAGAGAAGAAGCAGCTGTGTTAACTTGTTTCTAATCTTTTCGTTCTACAGCCCCGACACACCTGAACCGTCTCTGCTGCCAAGGGGAACAGTAGTCGACAGCACTCGCTTAGTGTAACAAATCTGATTTGGGGGTGGGGGTGGTCAGTTTCATTTGACCAAAAATAACTTGTATTGTCCAAAGTGGTCACTTATTCACGAGGGTTTAAAATGATCCTCATCAAGAAAACCATCACTTAAGTTCTTTGTACCTTTTCGTATTCAGAAGTTTTAGACTTCTTATGCTAAGTTTTAGACTTCTGAACATGGAAGTTTATGCCAATACGTCAGATCATAGCATGACCTGACAGGCACAGACCACAAGGTGAGACTACACTTTGGTTAGGACCCCAGTTTATTGCAGGAAACATACAGACACATGTATTTGCACAGAGGGCATTTTAGAGGTGCTCATTAACCTAGAATGTCTTTGAATCACAGGAGAAAACCAGAGTTGCTGGAGAAAAGCTGTATAAAGGGAATATGTAAACTCTACACAGACAGTGCTCTGCAACTGAATGCTGGACTCAAGAGCTGTGAGGCAGCACTACTAATCAACACATCATTATGTTCCTGATATGGATTCTTACATTAATAAACTATCATAGTGTTTAACCTTGGAATAATTAACCTTACTTTTCACACACTCTATGTAAAGCAGTTAAATACCCCCCCACCCCCCCACCCCCGACCTTTAATAATGATAATAATAATTGCTAACACTTATATAGCGCTTTTCTGGACACTCCACTCAAAGCGCTTTACAGGTAATGGGGACTCCCCTCCACCACCAGTGTGCAGCCCCACCTGGATGATGCGAAGGCAGCCATAGTGCGCCAGAATGGTCTCCTAATCATCATCGTCTTTACCAATCATGGTCTCCTAATAATCCCCATCTATGGACTGGCTTCCTGACACTGCTCTCCTCCCCACTGATAGCTGGTGTGTGGTTTTCATACTGGTGCATCATCCAGGTGGAGCTGCACATTGGTGGTGCTGGAGGGGAGACCCCATTACCTGTAATGAGCTCTAAGGGGAGTGTAAGTGTAAGGAATTATTTTTAATTGTTTATACAGGTATGTAAAAATGAATTAACTTCATTGCATTTTCAATGCCATTAATGATATTTTATATTTTGACAGTTTGTAATGTCACATGTTTACACTTTATATAATCTTTTAGCTTCCTAATACTTGTCCTGATGTGCTTATCACATTTTAGAAAATACTTTCTGTGTTTTCAATTGAAAACTAATTGAAGAACTAGACTTCAATTAGAGATTAAACTCCCACTCAGGCGATTACTCATATTGTGAAATGTAAGTTTAAGGGAGTATGTATTTTTTAATTTTACTCTATATTAGTTATCTTATGTGGGCAGTATGGGGGCGCAGTGAGTAGCATTACTGCCTTGCAGCGCTGGTGCACTGGGTTTAATTTGTGGGGTGCTGTTTGTGTGAGGTTTGCATGCTCTCCCTATGTTGACGTGTTTCCTCTGGGTGCTCCAGTTTCCTCCCACAGTCCAGAACATGTTAATAGGTTAATTGGCTTCTGGGAAAATTGGCCCTGATGTTTGTGGCTGTGTGTACCCTGCAAGGCCTGGCTACCTGTCCAGGGTGCAATCCCCACCTTGTACCCATTGCTTGCTAGGCTAGGATACAGCATACCTGCATCCTGTAAATGGATGGATGATTATCTGATTGCTATGTCCTAGTATCTAGGACCCTTCTTGCTTTTCTGAAATAGGTTAAAATGTCTTATAATAATTTCCACAGTAAATAATGGATTACTCTGAGGGTGAAGTGTTCCTTGGACCTACTAGTTTCTTCAGTAGTTGTTTAAGGTCAGCAGGGAAAGGGACAATGGACACTACTGCTTTACATATTCTGTTAGCTAGATGGCAGCAGTGTGACACAGACAGCTTAACATTGCTAGTAGCTGTGTCTGCTCGGTTCAGACTCTGCTAGTGAGCCATCCAGCCTCCCGAAAGCTTTGCAGTTAAATAATCTATGTTTAGTTTCTATCTAATACCTCTGGTATTAATGCAAATGCTCTTCTTACCAGTGATTTAGGAAAACAACATCCACTATGATAACTGTTCAATCATTAGGTTTGGGGATGATGTTGCCTTGATTGGACTTGAGATGACCAAAACAATTACAGAAAGGAGATAAACCTTTTTCTAAAAAGTGGTGTCAGGATAATTTATTGCTTTTTAATGAAACAAAGACCATGTTAAGTGATTTTAGAAAGAAATGCTCTATTTCTATGATTCCTGTAACTGTTAATGGAACTGATATTGAAACAGTAAATGAATATAAATACTTTGACACTATTACTGACTGTAAATTGATTTGTACCGCCAATGCAGAGGTATGGTATTTGACGGCATAACAAAAGTTGTAGTTTTTACGGAAGCTATGGAGTTTAAATGTAGAAAGCACAACATTGACACTTTTTTGCAGAAGTTCTATTCAGAGGATTCTAGCCTTTTTTATTATTCAGATCTGGGAAGCTGCCTTGTCCTTGCAGAAAAACAAATAAGTTGAACGATGTGATCATAAAATTTTAGATGACCCCTCTCATCCACTCTTTTAAGAATATACTGTCCTACTGGTACCTAGAGGAGGTACCAGATTCCCCTAGATAAAGTAAAGAGAGCATTTTCTCCCTCTATACCTATAAGCATTCAATTGTAGAATAATGAAAAAATGTTTGCATGTGGGGATCTTCTGATTATTCTTTTCAGACTCTTTACAAGCGAATTGTCTGTTTTTTTAAATTTTATGACACTGGAAGAGTTCTGAGTGAACAATGTTGTTGAATGTATTGCAATATTATATTATTGTTATATGTTATTTTATATTATTGTTATATATATTATATATTAATGCAAGACAAATTCCCACGGGGGGAATAAAGTTAATTGTCAGTAGGGTACGTGTCCAATCCTAATGGTAATGTTAATGCTTGTTCCTTTTCTCAGAGCAAATCCCTTACAAGGTCGGAAGACATCTTACCTTGCTGATGTCGGAGGAGCGCACTCGGGCGCCCTCGGCCTCGCTGAAGGCCACGTTCATGGCGAACTGGATGGCCAGGCCGGTCATGGTGCCGGTGGCCAGGGGCTCGATCTTGGTGACTGCTTTGACCAGGGCCGCCTTGTTGCGATACGTCTTGAGGGACACTTCGTTCTTCACCCCGCTGGCGTAGTTGACCACCCCGACGCGTGTGGCGTTGGGCCCCACGTCCAGCCCCTCGATCACCTTGGTCAGGAAGACCTTGACCTGCTCGAACTCGGAGGGCCGCACGCTGCGCGAGCTGTCGACGATGAAGACCAGGTCCATGGGCCGAGTCCGGCACAGGCCTGCTGCAGGGCGAGAGGGAGCGAGGCGGTGCCTTTCAGCAGCGGCTTCACCATGTCATCAAGCAAAAAGGTTTGTTGTTTTTATTACCTTATTTAGTAAGTGGCCATATTAAGGGACTCTTTCAGGATTCCTAAATAACACTTCTGAACAAACATACAATAGGGAGATGCAAAGGGCTACAATTTCCACACAGAACAACGAGCAGAGTGACCCATTAAAATAGCTTCTAGCTCACTTTTTACCCTTGCTATTAATGTATTAATTAATGCTTAATTTGATTAATTAGATAGTATTTTATTTATTATTCTGTAGCCACTGTGCCTCCAGTCTAGCTCATTAGGAGGATCGGTAGTGCCTGAAACCCTGATATACTGTCTGTTCAACTGAGCACATAATCTCTTGGTACCTGAATAGGTGTTTGACCCTGTTTATACTATATATATACTCCCCATACTTTGATGCTGTAGTCTCTGGTACAGTATTATTTTAAAAGAAGGTAGAAAATAACTTTTTGAGCAAAGCAACAGTAAGATGTGTTTCAATATTTGTTTTAAGTTTTTTTTATATATAATGCGCAGGGCATTTCAGTCAGCTGTGAAAACATTTAATGTGCATTTAATATGCAATATGACATTAGTATGTCGCCCACAATCATGATCTTTTGTGAGCACTTCATTCAAGCATTTAATACTCCAAAAGTCAACCCAAAAAACTATTTACATACTGCAAATAAGATCAATAAACAAGAATTGAAACCAAGTACACATATACAGTATGCTGTGTTAAAAACAGGAGTCAAATACAATATTTCTGAGAAAAAGAATCTATTTTATTGCTGTTGAGTTCTGATGCAGTGCTAGTTTTGAGTCTCCCTGACCACACTGATAATGTCATTAAAAAAACTGAAACTATATTGCAGAAACTATATTGTAGCAGAAGGGGACACACATCATCTCTTGACAATTAGTTGAGGCAACACCATGGCTTTCTTATTTTTGTGGTTTCTAATGTTATTAAACTTTCTGCAATTCTGTCCAGAATGTTAGCACAGTACTCAAAATATATTGTTTTCTGGTTAATATGTGTTTTTGTGTAGACTTTTCATGTTTGTCCTGTTTGCACGTATTTTCACTAGGTGCCTAGGTTTCCTGCCACTCCCAGAGACGCAGGGCTATTCTTAATTGCCCCGGCCTCTGTGGCCCTGAAACAGAATGGGGTCTGTTGCTAAGCGACAACATGTTCTCTCATTCCTTCCTTCAGTCCTTTGATTACGGGATAGGCTCTGGGTTGCCACTGCTTTCATCAGGATAATCTGCTTTCTGATAAAGGACAGATATTACATATTTTTTGGTTTATTTGGAATAAGCAAACCCTGGTAGGAGTTTGAATTAAAAAGAACAGGAAACAGTTCTCAATGCAAAGAGTTTTGGGCATTTGGAACAACCACCATTCAGGCTTCGAAATATATTTGATCTTTTGACATAAAAACTCGAAATAGTTTATTGAGTAAATGACTATAAATAGCTTTGTTTCAGCTGCCACATGTGTCATACCTGAAGAAGGTCTCACAGCTGAAATAGTCTCTTTCTTTTTTCCTTTCAGCACTGGAATAAACCTGTGCCTGTCCCTTTGCAGCCTACAAATGCTAGTACTTCAACTTCATCACCTACCCTCTGTCATTTGATATTTAATCTACTTGTTATTGCTTGAGGGGACCCTTTTAAATGAAATTTGTAAGGAAGGTTTGGAAGAGAAGACAACAACCATGTTCAGTCAGCCTCAGCTGTCATCAAACCTGACAGACATTTTCTCACATAAAACATAATAAATACTATACGCAATCCCCTCCTCTCCCTCGTTTACATCTTTTGCATCCCTACTCCAACCCATCTCCACCTGTGCAACAGCGTCTTGGTCACTCCTCACTCTGGGGGGGGGGCTCGGGGGTCCCAGCCTCCTCATCCTCTGGCCAGGAGGTAACCCTCAGCCAAGTGGGTCAAGCCAAAATGCCTATTTCTTGGGTCTTCATATTCCTTGTCAAACGATTTTCATCTCTTAAAACTAGCATTATTTCTGGACCAAATCATTGATGTCTAATGTTTAATTGCCTTGCCCCTACAAATTTAAATCGGCACATTATTGACTGAAAATCTGTTAAAAGTGGTTTTAAAAACTATAGGGAAGCAACCTTTTACGCAGCCAAATGCATCCAAGTAATGCTGTTTGATTTGTGTCAATACCTTCTTAGGCAGCAGTATTTTTTAAACCAAGGACTCGGAGCATAAAGATTTATGAAGCAAACAGTTCAATATTTATGGTTTTATTTATGAGCTTATCCACTATTAAGAATGGTATGTTATGGTAATAATATTCAGTGTCACCTGCAACTCTAATCTTTCATCCATTTTTAATGAAGAACTAATAATTATTCCTTTATTTCATATGATCGGATATTACTTATTTAATAAAGGTGACACACTCCGATATCTGATTTGCAACAATTTCAGAAATTGCTCAAGCTTTTCACAAGTGATGGAACACCAAAACAAGAAACTTTCCTTTGACTCATGTTAAGGAATGCAGACCTTGGAAACACCAAGATCATCTCAGAAGTAACAAAAAAAAACCTTTCCCTCAGTTTAATAGCTGTGTAAGCTTATTTATTTGGTGTTGCTTCTGTGGTTAATAGGACACAAGCTTCTAGGAAAAGCCAGGAGGAAAAACATCATTTTAAAACCACACGTAGCATACCCTATCAGGGCACTCCTCAGAGCCTGTAGCAACTAAAACTCAAAGTGACCACAAAGTAGTGAAATCTAGAACACACTATTGTGGTCCTTTTCAGAATAAACCAAAAAATGGCAGCATTCAATATCCCAAACCATCACTATCACCATATACCCCCTGTAAATACCAAACAAAAGCTTAATTGCACCTAGTGTATAACAAATAGTACTTTTAACATAAGAAAATACATGTTAACTACTGATCTCTTCTTAATCTGTGTAAATGAGCTGATAATAAAAAAATAATAAAATGATCACATACCTCACAGTCTGTCACTATCAACTGTTCTTTACGCGAAAAGTGAAGATGAATTCAGGAAAGCACGATCAAGGTGTTTCAAATTCTGTAAGGAACTGGCACAGTCCACCCTAACCTTCAATTAAAAATAATCACACAGACCAGAGCCAGAGAGCATTTGCAGGATTTAAGAGCAACTTAATTTGAGACTGCAAACACAGAGAACTGTGAGTATGAGAAACAAGGTTATGGATGTTGTGGGCTTCAGACAGAATCTGAGACCTGGGGGAGAAGAATAAACCAAACAGCTTTGTGACACCCATAGTACTCAAATTATGGACAGTTATTATATTTATATAATATGCTTTATAAATAGTTATAGACATATATTTAGCAATTATCATTTTATCTTTATATTTACCCTTTGAATTAGACCATTTTCTCATTGGTGTAGTGCCTACTGTCATATGTGACTGGTGGCTAACCATGAGCAGGGAGTCAGTTTAGATCCATGAAATGCAGCAGTTTTGGCTCATGTTAAACCCAATGGCTTGCAGGGTATCTGCACATCAGCAGTCTGTCAATGTGTGGCTAGGCTGCTATCTTCACCAGTTTATGGCAATGTGCAGTTGAAGGGGGGCATAGGATAATGGTTCAAAACAAGTTCCATGATCAGTCCAGAAAATCCATGGAAGATAGTTTACAGGGATATACAAGGGTTCAAGTACACTAACAAATGAAACAGAGCCAAGAAAATCTGTATGGATGACAATCAGCAGGAAAACAGAAATGTTTAAAATCTGTAAATGTGTAGCTTGATTGAATTCTCTCATTCTCTCTGTGATTTGTCACAAATCTTGCAGGCTAGAGACTGTAGTGTCACTAATGTCACTGTTTCCTGAGAACATTTTGCGAAGTAAGATAAGTCAGGGCTTGTGTTCAAAATTGCTTTTACAAACCTTTAGGGAACAAAAATGATCTGTCAGAAGTTATTTTATTCAGTTTCTGTGATGCAGAAAGCAACCCATAGCAATTAGACAGGATATTTTCTTAGGTTTGTGGAATGTGAGTTTGGCTAAAAAAAAAGTAGGACATTTTCCAAAGCACTCGGGATGTTATAAAGAACATTGTTTGTGACTGTGTGTGCCCTCCGATGGACTAGTGTGTAAAAGATTACATGTATGGTGTGTAATAAATGAATACATCAATGAAAACTAAGTGGAAAATATCTAATAATGGAATGAGTTGTGAATGGAGTAAAGAAGACTGTAAAAGGTACATCAGTACTTAGTGTCTGCTGACTGTAGATGAGTGTAGGAACAACACTGAATGAGTGTTCGTGTTCATTTTGATATAGAAGTGTAATACAATGTTGTATACAGTATGTATACCAAAATCATTTAACTTTGTCCCTTGTAACCTAGACAGTGCACTGCTTCTTACATGGTATAGGGTATATGGTATAACGGTGTTCTAATATGACCACCACCATTGAACACACCTTATTACAAAACCAGTATTTATAGTATAAACACCTATAATATAGTATAAACACATATAATGATATGGTGGGGAGCTGCGTCAGCATGCGTAGGCTGCAAAGGAACAAGTAATAGGTTTATTCCATGCTGAAAAAAAGAAGAAAGAGAACACATATAATATAATATATAATGATATTACTGTTATTATATATGTATAATTCTTATAGTTACAAATAAGCACATTGTGAGTATGTTAGAAGTAGCTGACTTCAGGACTGTCAGCTTCAATGTCTGAAAATACTGAAGGCAGCCAATAGGGGGCGCTCAGTGTTCCTTTAAGTGGTGGTTGACAGAAATTTCAAATGCATTCTGTGGATACCCGCTCTGCATCTTATTCATGTAATTATAACAGAGTTATGATAGAAATCCTGGAGGAAGGGTAGACCCACTTCACACATTTCCGCTCGCCTGTGCATATAAATCTCGCACCTCACCCATCAACACCCCTGTAACAACTCCCTAGCTCAATCATTGTGGTTCTGAGAAGGGGGCTGGGCGGCTTCATCCTTTCAGTGAATCTGTGAAATTCACTCAGCCAGATGAGCTCAAATAACTATACTCTGCATATTTTGTCTCTCTTGCATTTATTAGGATCTTACTGAACTACTGAGTACTCTCTATGATTGGTGTTACTTCCCAAAGGTTAATGAATAATCTTGATTTATCTTTTCTTCTGCAGCGAGAGGAGAGAAATGACCCGAACATGCTCAGTGGTATATGAATTGCTTCTTTGTTTTAATAAAGTGTTTCTAAATTGGTCTGTAACTAGAGAGACATGGAATTCCTTGAAGGATTTTGAGCTTACTTTAAGCAATAATTCAAATATCTGAAACACTTTTGAGTCTTGTTTTGTCTGTAAAGCAACATCGACGTGTGCAGATTCTTACCATAGAAGGCGCAAGTATATCTAATTTGAGCATAGACGCAAGTTAAAATATTCACTCAAAACATTCTTGACCGTTTTGAGTGAAAAGGCTGTTTTGCTTTTAATGGTAAACAAAACAGGCATAAAAATTACTTGTAAAGCAAACTAATGCATTGTGAAAATTAAATGCATTCAGCATGCTTGAAAGGCAGAAGGTCAGAATTTCTAAATATTTAAATAGCAAACCATCTGCTGTCTCCACAGGACCATCAGTATACTAAATAGAAGAGGGACTTTTTTTATTTTCCAGTCATCGCAGATTAGTGCTGCAGTTACATTGCCAAATTCCGTCTGGACTGTTTCGGATCGGCTTCACAATTTCAGTAGTAATTTTAGCTAATGTACGGCTCTGATGAGTTATTTTCCAGCTAAGCAACCAGCAAAATGGGAGAATGTGCTATGAATTCCAAATGAATAAAAGGTACCTAAGTATAGCAGGGATAAACAGAAAACTGAAGTTATGAATCCAGTTACATGTCCAGAGCCCTAACCTTGAGTGTTCTTGCAGTGACTGGAATAGATGATATCAAACTATTTCAAATCAGTGTCTTCATCCCAGGTCCTGGAGAACCCTGGTCCTGCAGGTTCTCTTTGTCCCCAAAATGGAATTGTTTGGAACTCATTGAGCCATTAAACGAGTAAGGTGTTTAATTACAGAAAATCTGGTCCTTGAGGGTTACACAATGTGCAGGACCATGTTCTTAAAATTTCTCAATTACTTAATACATCTGTATAATAAATCTTCATAAATAAAACTGATTATTTCAATGGTTGCATAGATAATCTGCTAAATTGGTACTTTCAAGGGCCAAGCGCCTGATTAAAATGAATAGATTCATAGGCAGTAAAAATTCAAGTGTAGTAAAAATGCCAAAGAATGTGTGACCAGAATGCAAGACATTTTTTAAATATTTTATATAAATGTAAACATTTATAACTATATATTGTGTGATATAGTGGAGGAATATTTATGCATAACAATTACAATTGGGCAGAGCGGTGGCTCTGTGGCTAAGGATCTGTGCCTGTGGCTGGAAGGTTGCCGGTTCAAATCCTGCAGCTGGCAGAGGAATCCTACTCTGTTGGGCCCCTGAGCAAGGCCCTTAACCCCAACTGCTCCAGGGGTGCTGTACAATGGCTGACCCTGCGCTCTGACCCCAGACTCTCTCTCCCTCTGTCTGTCTGTGTCTGTGTCTCATGGAGAGCGAGCTGGGGTATGTGAAAAGACAAATTCCTAATGCAAGAAATTGGACAGGGCTAATAAAGTGATGTTATGCTATATAACATATAATGGAGATTGACTTCCTTGCAGTGTAAAGCAAGAGCTATTGTTCTCAAACAGTATGATCTTTCTTCTCTGACTGTATGACCTCTCTGTCATACAAAGCCCCTAAACAGCTCTATATATACTGTAGTATGCTGTTTTGCTGGAACTATAAAGATTACCTGTCCCGATAATCAACTTAAAACGCACATATAAGCATACAGGCTCTTAAGATTTGCACCTGTATTGCAAGTATAGAAAAAATGAACTGCAGTTTACATGCATGGTGTACATTTCCTCTAATACCATGTTTAGGTGTCACACTGCACAATGCATATATTATAAATCACATCCCATTTAAAAGACAGTTCTGTAGAATGAAAAACCTTGCAAACTGCCCTGTACCAGATCCACAACTACTGTATATCCTATGGGGAAGAATGGCATCCTTTCAGCAGGAGTGAAATGGTTCACTTTATGGTACCACAGGAAGCAGCCATTTCCAGAGGTAAAATTTTGAGCTAAATAGGGTTTCCACACTGTCAAGACATTCAGCAGCCTATAATTCACCCTCTCATATAACCTCTTCAATTCCCACCTGTAGGGATAAGTTAGTGTCCAATAAGTTCAGAAGAGATGATAAATATATTTAGTTGACAGACATTATCTGTTTAAATAATCTTACGTAACCCTTTGTAACCTTTTCAAATTCAGAGAAAAAAAAAGGACTGTTTTAATTAGCTGATATCAAACAGTAAATTAATGCAAAATCATCTTCCTTTTGGCAGTATGTTACAGATATACCTAATGTTTGGATTTTGACCCTGGTTTTCAATGATAAGTCCATTTCAGGTGGTGTATTTGGCTGTAGTCGGTAAAACCATATGTTGAAATGTAAAGGATCTCCAAAATCTAGTGAATTGACTGTGACAAAAATGACTCTGAAGTTGTGAGGAAAGTTGGGGCTATACAAGAGATGTAACCAAGCCATGTTACACCTGCTATTGTGGTCATTCCTCCACTTTGCAAAACTAAAGTGCTTAAGAATTAGAAAGATTGTAAACCTGAGGACAAGCCAAGAACTGCCAGTCTGGCTGGTCTGTTGTAGGAAGACATAGCACCCAGACCACACTCAGTTCCAGTAATGGTGCAAAATTAAACCAGAAAAACCCTCACAGATATGGGATTGTAAAGAATTCATCACCTTTGCTATTATGAGACATGCAATGAGGTTGAGACGGTGAACATCACTGGAGCCAACTGGAAATGATTGTCTGTGTCCTCTACAGAGCAAATGAAATTAACTTAAGCATGCACCAGTAAAAGTAAATGCAGATATTCAGGCCTGTGAGAAATAAATCTATTTAAGATCAAAAACCTCCTTGTTCTTTAGCTCCATTGCTTTAGCATATTATGTTATGGGCAACAGCAATGCTGCTGAAGCTGAACGTCTCACAGAATTCAACATCCTCCTCTAAAGCCTTTACAAAATCTTAGCTACACACTTGAGAGAATTTGAGGGAAAAGAAAGAACACAAACCTTTGTAAAAACAAATTACATAATTTGACCTCTCAGGACAGTGCTGGGTCGGTGAAAATGTGAAGAAAATAATGCCTAAACACTTGAAGTAAAACAGAACAAGAGTACTATATGATCCTTCCCGAATACAGAAACAGTCCATTCAGTAGAATAAAACTATTCTATGCTCAAACCAATGCCATTAATGTATGGGGAAAAAAAGGAACAATGCTTTTTTGGAAACCAGAGCTAACCAAAGTGGATTCAAACTTGCTTTTCTGTAAAAAAAAGTAACAATCAATTCTTGCTTTACCAGAACCCACCACTCCCCCCCCACCCCTTCCCAAAAATCGGTACCCGAAGGGTCGCTGGCTGCTGTTTCCTTACCACTCAGTGCCGCGGCATTCCTGTACTCAACCAAAGCTCCACACTCCTGGCCAACGAGGATCAGGCAGAGCAGCAGCAATCCGCATGGCAGAGACCTCATGGTTGTTGGGCAGTGGAGGACAGGTTAGAGAGTGGCTGTCTGGGGTCCTGGCGGCGAGGTATTAACACACCACTCCTTTCACAAACCAGAAATCCAGCCCCTGGGATGTGGGGAAATACCTGAAAAATGCAACCTCTGATTTGAGAGAGGAAAAAAAAATGCGCACACACACACTCACAAACACCTTGCCAAAAACTACGAAGGCAGAGAGGGGGGAGAGAGTTATGTGAGTGATGTCTTCTGTAACCAAAGTTGCTGAACTTCTCAGAAAATGTGTGGAAGGTGCATTAAGGGAGGACAGAGAGTTAAATAAAGACCGGGGTAGTTCAAATAAACTGAGAGAAATGAATGGCAGGCTCTTATTGTGTCTTTTTACAGTTACAATGTGAAGTGTCAGTCACGAAACTGTATGGCTTCATACCTTCAGAAATTCTGGGGCTTTTGTTTGCTTTGGTAGCTTTAACAAAAATAAAACAAAGACAAAGATAATGGTTTGCCCTTAAGCTTACCTTTTGTGGATAATGAAAGAGGCTAAAGGGAAATTGTAACATCTGTGAATGCAACGCGTTTCTTTTTGTCCACCCCAAAAAAATGACAAAATAGGTTTGAAAACCTTATTCTCTCTTCACTTTTCCTCATGCAGAGATAATAGCAATGATAATAGCAATTTGGGTCCTCAGCTCAATCGCCTCTCTACGCAGTAAGCCTTAGTATGACCTTCTACCCTGTATATCATTTGATATATAAAAGTATGTACCATTTGATGACACGCATTAAAAGATAACACATGCTGTGTTTGCAGCAGTGACATCACTATGGAGCTGATGTCATACGAGAGGCTCATCATGAGTACCTTAGCTGAATACCTTATGCTGAACACTCTTTCATATTATAATTTTGCACAATAATCACTGCTGCTACCCGTCCAGTAATAACCTATTGTATTAGACTCATGTTGCTTCCTGAAACTTGTTCAATTGTACCGGCACTGTATATAGTAGGTGTTGTGCAAACCTGAAAGGTTGTGAAGATCCATTCTATAATCCATTATATAATTATTGTTGAATAAAGCCTAATGAAATAATAACAATAGTTGGTGTTAAAACAGAATTGACACACTTCTAAATAATGTAATATTGAATTTTCCAGTGAAATTCCATATTATATTACTGCCTGACAGTAGACAACAGTACAACATAACATTAAATAGTAAGAATGCCATGAGACAAAGACCATGCTGACTTTGTACTGTATATCACAATGAGTGTTCAGACTTTTGGCTGTACAGACCTTTAAAGTTTCTTTTGTTCAGCAAGAATGTGTTTCCTGCTTACAACATATCAATAAAGGGACACTGTTCAGACAGACTAAGGTATCAATAAGGAACAAGTAATAGGTTTATTCCATCCTAAAAAAAAGAAGAAAGAGAACACAACGTTTCGGCCGTGGAGCCTTCTTCGGTTTAGAGGGTCACAGAGTGGTTAGATTGAAAATCCACTAACTTGGAGATAAAATTGACTTTCTACTAGCCTACAGAAATTGGGATGCCACAAGCAGAGCCACACGATTGGCTATTAACCCCAATGTGGTTGGGTGGCAACAACTAGTTGATCACAAAGTGACTCTTGAACAACTAAAATGGAAGGTATGTTTATATTGGGATAACAAATGGGAATCGAGATGCATCAGCCAGAAATGATTTAAAACTTAAGAGACGACAAAAAAGTGAATTGAAGGATGTGAATGCACACTCCCCTTTCCTAGCGTTCCCAACACGAGAACCGATAAACGAAGTTGGCGAAGCGTTGTGTAGCTACTGTAAAAACACATTTTGTTTCAAAGCGGCTCCTGTAAGGCTCTGGGGCGCAGAGGATTGTGCACGCTGTGGTTGTGCAGCCGCCTGCCTCCGCACAGCCACGGACAGCATGGCCGTGGCTCAGCCGAAGCTCGGGGCTGGTGCGGAGCCTGAAAGCCCCGCAGTGTCTGCCTCGCTTCGAGGAGAAGGTGGTCCGCGGCCAGCGATGATGGGTGGATGAATAAGAGTCATTCAGGGGGGCACATAAACAGCGTCTGTCTGAGCTGGGAGTCCTGGGCCAGCATGTAACAGCGACTCTGTAATTTCTCTGTTAATTAACGAAGCAAGGTAAACACAGGCTGCTTCGGATTTCACAGACTGGCCCGGAGCTGTGGACGCAGTATGTATCAAGAATTCCGAAATGAAAGGATAAACACACCGCAGGGGGAAAGAGACAACCGCAGAAATTATTCTGGAGAAGAAGCTGGGTTTCTAATCATTTTTTGTTGACGGTGGGTTTTTTGTGTTCGTTTGGGGGTTTTTTTTAGAATTTAAAATTAGTCAACCCTGAAAATACAATTAACTGATAACCGACACTGGGAATTCTGGTGGTTCACTATTTATTTTCTGCCATCTGCTTGAAGCGTTACTTAACCTGCTTCTTGATCTGTTGAAATAGTGATTCTTTGTCTCTGTTTATTCAGACGTTTTCTGAAGTGTTTAATTAAGATAGCAGGGAAGTCAGAAATGAACTAGTGGGAAGAACTCAAATTGAAACTTCTAAGTGTGTTTCAGACTTTCATCTCACTCTTTCTTCTTGTACTGTACATCCATTTTAATCATTTTGAGCCTGAAGTGAAGGTTAACCAAGGTATGGCAGTGGCCTTGGAGAGAATCAGCAATCAGCATTTCTGCCAGTGCTGTGGCTTTGGGTACAATTGTGGACTTGTGGTACTATCTGTGTGAAGTGTGCATGTTCTCTCCAAATTCATGTGGGTTTCCTCCTGGTGCTCCGGTTTCCTCCCACAGTCCAAAGACATACTGGTGGGTTAATTGGCATCTGGGAAAATTGGTCCTCATGTGAGTGTGTCTGTATATGCCCTGTGATGGACTGGTGTCCCATCCAGGGTGTATCCTGCCTTGTGCCCATTTGTTGCTGGGATGGGCTCCAGCTTCCCTATGACCCTGAATTAGAAGAAGCACTTAGAAAATGAAATCTAAACCTTTTTTATTTGGCTGGGTGGATTGACAATTATTTTCATTCATCCATTTTCAGTAACCAGTTCATTTGTAGAGGATTGTGGTTAACCTGAACTGCACTTGGCACTCAGGCACAGGGTGCAGAGCTGGGCCATACTCTATATGGGATGCCACTCCATCACTGGGCACTCACAATGGGAACATTTACATGGGGAGCAATACGGAGAGGCCCATTTACCAGGGGCCAGTGGTTGCTTAGAAGTATAGCTTCCAAGATAACCATCTAATGTGTGTGTATAGGAAACACATACTGTATATATATGTGTATGTTCACCTGTGTAATTGGAATAGCCTAGCAATAGCCTAGTCTTCTTTTCATATGGGTCATGAACAGTCAAATACAAATACATTCTTTGTGTTCTTACACTAACACTGCACGTGAGAGCCCAAAATTTGACCTTGAGTATCACTGAAACACTTGTCTGCACAGGCCATAAGCTATGAATTAGACGTTCTGTTCCCCCAATGTTTGTTTTCCGTTCTTGACACTCGCCAAACGTTTGCTTTCATATATGAATAATTTGGCTGTGCAATTTAGCGTTAGCTAAGGAGGAAGTGCCTACACCGCAGTCGACCGCTGACTGTCCCTCTCCGATCTCCTGCAACATACAGTACTGTATATTGCAGTTCATGAATCACACCAGCCATTTACATGACTGATTTAACTCATAGGCATTCGCTTTCTGCATTTGTAACAAGCACCACACCGGCTTAGTAATACCAGAACAGATGGCATTTTAAAGTGCTTGGAAATGGCTTGCTGCTAAGTCATTTTAAAGCTAATTATGTTTTGCTGTGTTGCTTCACGTTTACAAAATATAAAGTTATAAGTTGCAATTTTGAAGAATTTACAAAAAGGTTTAAATGCATTTGCCACTTAAGGCATCTTTCAAGCTTGGTGGTACTGAGACATGTTTGGAGAATGTGTAGAAACACTGTGTAGCTCCTGGGTGTTCTTTTAGTGATCTAACTAAATTAATATTGAAAAGGGTATCATAATCTAAGTAGGTCAGAGACCATTGCACAGAAGGCAGCTCTGCTCATGATTCATCCAGCCATCATCATCAAGCTTATTCCTGGTCAGGATCTATAACCATTCCATGGGATAGGATGGAATGCCAGTCCATCACTGGGCACATGTACAGGGGCAATTTAGAGATGCCAGTTAACCTAGCTAGCATGTCTTTGGAAGAAGAGAGGAAACTAGAAGATCCAGAGAAAAGCTTAGTGCACACGATGAGGCCATGGAACATGTTCACTCAGATGGATATCCAGTCTGGAGTCATCCCAGGATCAAAGAAGTGTGATGGAGCAGCACTAAGTGCCATGCCACCACGCTGCTCCCACAATTCAAATAAACATTTCCAAAAACAGGTGCACTTGTCAGGAATGTGATAGAGTGGGTAATAGCTAGTAGATCAGTACTCAAACCACAATGGCCCATAATTCCAGAGCTTTTCCTGGATGCTACGGCATTGAGCAAACATTTTTGAAGGGCCCTATTTATATTGCTGCAAATATGGGGTTGCAAAAATAGTGAAAATCAGAAAATGACAACACGGATAATTCACTAAGTAAAATAAATAGTCATATTGGTAACAATTTTTGCCAAGAATATACCCAAGCGGTTGGTAGTTAGAGGCAGATGTGGTCTTTGACACAGCTTTGGTGAAAAAAGTAATAATACATAATAATGCCAAAACTCACATTAAACAACACACAACATAAACATACACTGCACAATGTACAAACTTTCAAATAAGGCATCTCAGAGGCCTAATGTCCTAACCTCCCAGGAAAACCCCAGGCTGTTACCAAGTATTCATACTAGTATATAATGCCTACAAAGGCCAAAATAAGAGAAAGCTACCTTTTAAACCAAACGGAATGTGACCTGTGGTATTATAAAATAACTTAATAGTGCATTTTATAATAACTTGTAATGTTTCAAAATGGGCTCCACGGTGGCACAGTGGTTAGCAATGCTAACGCAGAGCTGGTGCCTGTGTTCTGACTGGACCTGGTGTTCTAGGTGCATGGAGTTTGTATGTTCTCCCCATATTCTCATGGTTTTCCTCTGGGTGTTCTTTTTTCCCTC